GGGGCTAAGAGGTCTCCGCAGCCCGAAGGTCAGCGCTCTGCGCATCCCGGGCACCTGTCGGGCTCTCCTGGGTGATGGGCCGCGTAGGGCCACCTGCTCCTATTTTATCAGAAGAGAGGTGGTCTTTCTGGGCTATGGGCCTGTTCCCAGGTGAGCGTGTGATGTTGTGTTGCAGTCATTCGCAGCACCTCTTTGTTCCCCCCCCCCTTTCTATGCCCTCTTATCTGTCTGTGTGTTTTATCCATCTGTTAATCTGACCGCAGATGGTCTCAGCCTTCTACTTACTGAAGAACTAACTCCTCAACTGCAGCCTAAAGGTTTGCCAAAAATTAAACCGAGCCCAACAGTAACACAAAGCATTGTTTGTTGGTTAGCTTTTTCACATAGGTATGTTTTCAATAAACTTTTGAGCTAATCTCTAAAAATACCTTTTCAAAATGTGGGAAAATATGGATTTAAAAACACTGTTTCCTTGTATTTTTTTGACAAATGGTGCATGAAACTGATAGCTAAGTGAGAATTAAAAATCTTGCTAAAATTTAATTATGTCCCCCATTTGTTGTGCCACTTACCTTCAAAATCTTGCATTGGTATCTGAAATAAATGAAAAATCCACAAGAAGAGCAAGCATACCACAAGCAGATTTACCAGTTTCTCAGGTTAGGTCTTCTAGAAAATATTTTTTCATGGAAGAGGAGAGAGCTACTTTTCCTTTCTTTTTCTTTTTTTTTAATCACATAAACATTTAGTTAAGTTTCTGTTATCTAGCACTGGCTAAAGTGAAAACGTTACCCATATTTAAGAAAAACTGTAAAAAATACGTATTTAATGTACACTTGGAAGTGCATTTATAGTAAAAGTATATTTTACATCCAAAAACTATGTATTCTGTGTGAAAACATACTAGTTTAATGATTTTTAAGAAAAGCTGTTAACAAAAAATTTTCAGAACACCTGCAACAGACAGGAATTTCAACTGGATCACAAGATAAAGCCTCAGTTCCTGATTCTGGACCAGAAATGGCTGAACATCGGGTGGCTGTGGCTCCTGTGGTAACATCAAAGCTGTCTGCTAAAGCACCTGAGTTTTATCCACCAGGATACAGCCAGAACTTCAATCAGAACTTCACAGTGAGTATTTCTTTTTTTAATATATGCGAATTTACTTATATTCAAAACTTACTTGTACTATAGATAAATTATGTATGTATTATGTAATATTATATTATCAGATATATTTGTATTTCTATCAGATAACTTAAATTATGCATTTGTTGAAGAGATTCCAAAAATTCTGATTATATCCTTCAGAGTCAGAGTTCGGATGTCAAGTGATAATTGCTGAATATTACTGTGTATGTGAGAGCCTTTAACATGACACATTGTGCTAAAGCTTGCTGCAGATAACCACACTCCTTGCTGATAACACCAAGCATCGATTACATCCAACATCAGAATAAGCTTCTTGGTGACTACACTTCTGTTGTAGCTAAATCTACACTGCATTTTTAAGTAAAGGCTTAGCTTCACTTTTATGCACGTTTCACAGATCTTTGAAGCAAATATGGGAGAAACCTTGAAGTTTTTAGGAGGCTTTAGGTTTCCAAAATGTACTGTGCCATGTGTATGAATGACTATGAGTCCTAACTCAGTGTGCCATCATGCGTCTTTTAATTCCTTCAGTGGTATTGTATCACCAAAGGGCAAAAAAAGTAGGGTTAGGCTCATTCCTAGCAGCTCCTGACCCACACACCTAATACATAAGGTATTTGCAGCCAGACTAAAGGTGATCTCAGATCAATATAATAGATGCATCATGTAATAAAAGTTGGTGAATTTTATTTTCTACTCCATTGTCTTCCATGTTACTGTTTCAGTAAATCTACTCCAGGGAAGAGCTGTGTGAATTCTTTGAGTATTCTTTTGTTAGTGCAAGCAGCCAAACTCTAGTACTGTACATTAATATGTAGAAACAATTACTTCTAAAAGACAATCAAGTGATTAAAAAAGAATTATACTTAAACAAATAGACTTTTAATCTCTGAATTCTAAATATGGGGGTTTGATGGTTCCTCATCAGTAAAATTAAGGTTATCAGCTTTGCAAATAGTATTACTGTCCTCAATAAAGCAAGCTTATAGACAGAATGCAACTGTTAACAAAATCAGAACATGAACATGCTTCAGTGAATAGATAATCTAGGTGAAAAGTCACTACTTTGCCCCTGTACCTGATACAAGTTTTCTGTAAATAAAGCATTTCAGTTTCAAGAGCAAAAAAGCCGCCATTTGGAATAGCATACATCATGCATACTTAAAATTGCAAAGCTTTGCAGCCAGCAGTGTTACTTTTCAGCTATTTTGCAAAAACACATAAGCATGTGGGAGTTCCTGGTTGCTATGTTGTAGGAATATGCTACGAAATAAGTGACTCATCTGTTAATAAAAATACCTCTTAAAAGGCTAGCAAAACCTCAGACATTTTGAAGTATGTTGCAGGCACCTTAATAGAATATACTGGGCATAGAACAGTGCTGTTTCAGACTTCAGTCCTTCGCTGTTAAGAAGTTGGGGTTTTGTTTTTACTTTAATGGTTGAAATAATATCATAAAATTGCAATAAAAATGAGAAATTTAGCACACTTTACAATTGCACAGGCTTTGACTGTGATTTTTAAAATCTCAATCAAAACAAAGTTTTTTAAATTTCTGTTTTTCACACTTAATATCAATACATTTTAGCTTTCATTTAGGATGTTCCCTGAAATTTCAAGATCAGAAAACTCACGATTCTTCATATAAAATAGACAGGGGTTTTGCTATTAAGCATTAATTGTTTTAGAAATAAGATGTTGATTTATTGTGTGGTTGTACATTATTGTGGTGCACATTCTTGTAATTACATTATTGTAATTACTATGTGTGTCCATATATAACATTCAATTATTAGATTAATCTGTTAATCTCCAGTTCTGGTATTCAAAACTACCAGTTACCCATGAAGATAGTTTAAGGGGCACAGCACACAAGGCATACTGTTTGATTTTCTTGGCTTTGAATAATGAATCAATAATGAATGTATAAACTTACAGCCTCCTGTTGGCTAAATGCTGTTTAAAAATAATCGAGGGATCTGCTTTGTTTTCCCTTAGTTTGCTCGGTACATGGTGCTGTCTTCTCAATAAATCTTAAAATCTGTCAATGAGAAACATAAGTGGTATATGAGTAGAAGTTATGGGGTTCAATTTCATAAGCTTTTAAAGTATAAAATGTTTAATAATTTACCAATATAAAATATTATTGTAATATTTGAATTATTCATTATACATTTTTTTCTCCCATTTGATACATTCCCTGTCATAGTAACTAAAACCTAGGCTGACTTCTTTGTACAGAACTTTTGCTGAGATATTTAATGTTGCCTAGTAAAAGCTGATGTCCTTTTGAGAAACAGAATATTTAGCAAGTTACACAGAGGCCTCTTAGCATTTGTTCTTTCGCTTTATACACTCCAAACCATTAGAACTGGAGAACACTTTAGGTTGGAAGTTTGTCTGCTCCAATCCCCAGCTCAAACCAAAACCAACTTGAATCATGTTGTCGAAGGCTTAATCCTTACAAGTAGTAACAACTTGTCACCATTTCTGTAAACCTATTTTTTTTCCTATTTCTGATAGGCAACATTAAGTAACTTTGTCTTTAGTGTTATCGCTGGGTAAATGTTCTTAATTCAACATCATAGCAAATCTTTCTAGTTGTTTTTTTTTGTTACCTTAAGTTGTATACCTTTGTGATAAAAGGTCTTTGAAGAATTTTGGAAATTGTGCCTTTTTTTTCCCCCACACAGGTTATGAAATTAATGTCAGTGCTTGTTTTCAGCAATGCATATCAGTCTTTCTCCACAATTCATACCCAGATAAAAATCTTTCACAGATCAGTGTTACTTCACAGTAGAGAAGAGACTGAATCATTTTGAAGACAGAAAGTAGACAACATCCCCTCATTAGAGAGGATGGTAGGGAGATGGGGAATATGATTAGAAGTTTTATCAGTGTATTTATGTCCACTAAATAAAGTGGATTTTTTCATTTTTAGCTCAATTTTTCATTTTAGTAGATATATGAAACCTTTTTCTTGTTAAATAGTACATCAGTTAAGAATTTTGATATTTTATATTTTACACTTATGTATTGAATTGCTAATTGCAAGTCTTTAGCAGTCACTCTTGCTTGGCTTGGGCTTCTGTTATCTCTAACAGATGCTTTTCACAGTTGTTTGTATAGTTTGACAAAGTCGGCTGTTGCTACTGTGTTATTACAAAAGTATGCTGCATCCTTTTCCATTCTCATATATCACCATTATAATAATCTAGAACACTCTTTACTTTAGATACTGTTGCACACATTAATTTTTAAATGGACAAAATTAGCAGCCTTCTGCTTCATCAGCTAGAGCATAAATAGCTCTGGAGTTTGGTCGTTCTATTCTTAACACAGAATTATCACAGAATCATTTTGGTTGGGAAAGATCTTTAAGAGCACCAAGTCCAGCCATTAGCCTAATTTTGCCAAGTCCAGTGCTTAAACCATGTCCCTGAGCATCACATCTACACATCTTTTAAACACCTGCAGAGATGGTGACTCAACCACCTCCCTGGGCAGCTCGCTACAGTGTTTAATTAACCTTTCAGTGAAGTTTCTTCTCAAATCCAGTGTAAACCTCCCCTGACACAACTTCAGTCCATTTCCTCTGGTCCTGTTGCTTGTTACCAAGAAGAAGAGACCAACCCCCACCTTGCAACAGCCTCATTTCAGGCAGTTGTAGAGAGCAGTAAGGTTTCGCCTCAGCCTCCTTTTCTCTAGGATAAACAACCCCAGTTCCCTCAGTTGCTCCTCATAAGACTTGTTGTCCAGACTCTTCTCCAGCTTTGTTGCCCTTCTCTGGAATCGCTCCAGCACCTCATTGTCCTTCTTATAGTGAGGGCCCCAAAACTGAACACAGCATTTGAGGTGCAGCCTCACCAGTACCAAGTACAGGGGGGCATTAACTGTCTTAGTGCTTCTGGCCAAACTTTCTGATACAAGCCAGGATGCTGTTGGCCTCCTTGGCCACCTGGGCACACTGTTGGCTCATATTCAGCTGCTTTGACCAACACCCTCAAGTGCCTTTCTGCAGGGCAGCTTTCAAAAACTTTCTTCCCCTGAACAGATATGTTTACTCATGACTTTCTTAGTTAATCTTGCACCAAACTTGTCCAACTGATTTCTTTTTAATCTGTATTTTGATGGGTTTTGCTGGGAAGCTCTGTTCTTTATAAAAACATGTTACCTAGTTCTTGAGATTATAGGACTACTGGAGCTTTCTGATGTGTTGAGATTTATGCTCTCTAAAAATATTGAAGTGAACTGTGTAGTAAAGATCACTATCAAGGACGCAGAGAGCCAAGACAAAGGGCTGTATGGTTACTTTGGAGTTGGTAAGTGTAGTAACATAATTTTGGGTTCTTTTTTAAATAGCTGGTATATTCTTTCACTGCTATAGGATTCTCACTTTGACGATAGATATGATGGCTATCTGACTTTGGCAGAATATGTACAAGACTTCCTAAATCACCTTACTGAGCAACCAGGTTGTTTTGAAACTGAAATAGAGCAATTTGCTGAAGCACTGAATGGCTGGGTCACTGCAGATGAAGCTTTGCAAGAACTTGTCGAACTCGTCTATCAACAGGTATCCTATGTGTTCTGTCTTATAATATGGACATTATGCCTTTGTTAGTGTCTTATGTTATGCACTCATGTTAGTGTATGTTACGCCTCTTGTTAGTGTCCAAGATACACATACCAGTACTGTTTGCGGTGTAATTGTATCTACATAGTGTTGTGATGGTTGGAAATTTTCTTTTTACACTGAAACACATAGGGACAGATTTTCCTCCATAAATTGACATGGTAGCTCAAATGTGGGATACCAGCATGGTTGATAAGTTTCCCCAATTTACTCAGTTTCTTTTGTTGTGTATTTGGATCTCCTGGTTCACATACTAGATTTCAAATTACAGCACTTTAATTAAAGGAGTTACATTTTAATTGCTGTATTCATATAGCAGAGACTGAAGAAACTCTTAAGCAATGTTAGAATTGTACATTTTTATGCTAAGTTGCAAAATAAAAATTAGATTAACTTTTGATTCCTTGGTATTTAAAAATAATAAATTTATTCCTACTGTATGAATCAACCTTTGGGAAATTTTCCTTTGCTGACAGACTTATCTTCTTGATTTGTAATATGCCTATTTCAGAACAGCCTAGTTGGAAGAAAGGACAGCTCATTTGCTGGTAAATAGGTCCTGTCCCATTGATGGCAATGGAAATGAGGACAGAGACCTTGAGCTGAACTCTGTACTAATTGGGAGAGCCTTTAGAAAAAACAGCCTAAATATGTGTTGCTTAGCAAATGAGCTGCTGTTTCTGTTTTTTGGGCTTGTTGCAGAGAATGAAGTCACACTTGTGCTTGCTATTTATTACACTGGGTGTCTCACTTTCCTGGTTGGATGCTTTCAAATTCTACCTTGAAGAATGCAAAATTTGATTATCTTCTTAAGTGCAGATAGTCACAGAGTCATTTTACTGCAAAATAATATGGGGTATGTAGAAGATGCATGACTGGTTAGTCATGGTACATGAGACTGGAGTTTCTTACCATACAAAATTGCTCCAGGTTTAAATTATGCACATTTAATTCAGAACAGTCTTGTTAGATGTTAAGATTATGCTGGTTTTGACAGCATCATTTTCCCATCCTTTATTCAAACACTTAGAAGATAGTTTTAAAAATATTAACATATTCTATACAACTTTACTGGAAGAAAAAAAGAGGAAATTACCCAATTTTAAACATTATACATTGACTCTAATTTAATGGTTTTAATGTTGCCTCCCCTATTTAAAAATAAGTCCAGTGTTAGGGTGGGCTGTACCTTGCTTAACTGAGAAGCACTGAGTCATACTAGTCTGAAATTATGTGAAAAATAAAAGCATAAAAAAAGCTGTGCTAATCTCCAAAAGCACCCAATTTGAGTTTTGTTTTATGTCAGCATAGGATGGTGTTCAAGTGTACCATCACTTGTGCCTGCTATTCTGTTTTGAGCAGAGGCTCAAGTATTTGTGTTTCCTGGTTATCACAAAACAATTAAAATGGCTGAGATGGATTTATAAGCATCTGCTTCAGTGATGTTAATTTAACCCAACTGGGCAGATTTACTAGCAGATGCTAAGTGAAGAAAAAAGACTGAAACAAAGGAAACCCAAGTCCAGTTCAGTCCTCCCTTCATCTGTGTGTCAGGTAACTTAGCCTGTCTGTAAGTAATAATTACATACTTCCCCTTGTGCTTCCTGATCCATTTGTATCTCTGGACAGAGTAAAGTGCCAGTTTTCTTGTTTTGCAGAAGGTGAACACTGACTTCATAGTTTAAGAATCTTGACTATTGTATAGTTAGATAGTTGCTATTAGAATAACTAAAATTTCTCACGGTGTGTATTGTTAGATTAGCCTTCCTGTTTAGATTGTGACTTTTTTGAGTTGAAGATAAACTGGGATTACCAGCAACAGTAATTTAGGAAAGATGATACAGCACTGTAAAGATTGGTTGTTAAGATGATGTAAGGTGTTGGGTTTTTGTATTTTTTTTTCTCTCTGTGTGCTATGCCAAGTCATAATACCTAAAATTTGTTTGCTTCAGTGTTTGATGCAACCACAAATACAGACCAAGTGATTAGAAAGATAATGACTGAAAAATAGAGGTGACTTTTGAAGAATTTGTGTGTCTGTCTTTGGCTTTTGTTTGTTTTGTTTTGGGCTTTTTTGTTAGGAAAGAGAAGTGTAATTTAAGTGATGTATTCTGCCTTGTAAAAAAGGGGAGTATCTCTTCTAGTCCAAACAGCTGATAAGAGTAAGCACCAAAAAGCTCGCCTGTTACTGGAAACTGTATTCTATTTGTCTTAATTACTTAAACTTACTTTATCTTCCAAACATTTCAATTTTTTCCAGTGACTTTATACACATAGTTCAGTTAAACTGAGTGCATACTTTTGACTGCTTGTAGAAGGTAATTAGAATGCACTGACGTGCAAATAGCAAGGTGGTTTTTTCAGACATGTTAGAACTAGAAGCATGCAAGCACATCTGTAATTCTGCTAGATGATCAAAATGTAAAAAGAGTGTGCAAAGATGATAAAGCCATAGAGTTGTTTAATTAATTCTTTGTATCCCTGTTTAATTTTTGGTAGATGTGGTGGGGGTGTTTACACCAGAACCTCTTTTCACTGAAGCTGTATCTGAAAAATAATCTCAAATTCTGTGTTGTTAGAAGAGAGTTCAAAAGAGGGTAATAGTAATAAATTGCCAAAATAAAGGGGTATTGTGTTACAGTCTATGAGAGTTTGAATGTAGACACTATTGAATTCCCAATTACTTTTTTCCCACCTCTGAAATTCTGAAGTATCAGATTTAAAGCAAAATATTTTTCAAATTGCTTATAATGTATGCTTTGGAATTTCATTGTTGCCATATGTTTTTACATTATAAACATATGTTTTTACATTATTGTATTCAACAGTAACAGGAGTTGTTTCAGAAAAAATGGCCTGTCAAGAACTATTAGCTGTAATGATACAGTTGTGACCTCTGATTCAGGAGTTTGCTATTGTGCAGATTGCTGGAGCATGTACAGGACAAAGTATTTGTCTTTACTTGCCATGTTCTTGTACTTTTTCCCTCCTGCATTCACTGTTGCCAAAAATAGATTCTGGGATAAATAACTCTTAGACTGAATGAAAGCCATGTCTTGTTTTAATCTACTCATTGCTCCTTCAAAAAGTGTATTAATGTCCACTATTGATTTTTTGAATACACAGTTTGTGACTGTTTTGCAAGATACGCTTTGATATACGTCACAATGGAGAAGTAGAGCTGAGGACACATGGCATAATTGTATTTGTTTTCTTAAAACCACAAAATCACTATGTGATGAGCTTTATGAATGCTGAAATGCACAAGCAAACTGTTGATAAGATAGAAAAATTAACATTAAATAGTAATCCTTAAGTTTCAGTTCTTCATTTGTCTAATCAACTATTGTTAAACACAGTTTTTGAAAGAGCTTTTAAAGGTATTTTGTGATAGTCTGATCATTAATTTTATGAGTAATATATTCCTCCACTTCTATTTTGGAAGGCCACATCTGTCCCAAATTTTTCCTACATGGGAGCACGATTGTGTAACTACCTATCTCACCATCTAACCATTAGTCCACAAAGTGGGAACTTTCGGCAGTTGTTACTTCAAAGGTGAGTATCAGCACATCATTTTAAGCCTGTCATTTTCTCAGGTTACTTGTCTTCCTATTTTGTATGTAACTCTTAATGTTGCATGCAAATAGTTATATATTTAAAATAAAAGTTTACATTGAGGATTATAAAGGTATAGGTACATACTGAATATCAAATACCTGTATTTTTAAATAAGAAAATAGGACTCCATTCGGACTTCTGTAGGCTCTTTTGAACAGACTTACCTATAAATTATCCCAGATTACAGGGTAAATTTGAAAGCTAGTGAATTAAAAACATATTGATGCACATACATGTACCATCCTTGTCCTTTGACTCTTGCCAGGACTTATTTCATTGTAGTTTTTTTCTTTAATTAGTTTTCCAGCTGCAGTTGCTGTGTCAGGTTTATTTATTGGTTGGCTAAATGATTTTATATTTATGAAGTAGATGCATAAAATCCAGAAAGATAAATTTCTTCGAGTTTCAGTTACTACAGAATTCTGGGAGCTTACAGTTTAAAAATAATTAGACTTTGTAGTTTACAAAAATAATGCATCTAAATGCATATATTTCCTTTTAAATCTTACTGCATGACATTTGAAGTAGTAATGTACTTCATGTCACAGTTTAGATAGTTGTTCTGTCACCTGACCCCACCCATGAAGGGGGATGAGGAAGAGAGACCCGTGAGCTGAAATGCAAATAGGTTTAGTAGCATAACAATAATGAACTAATATTAACCCCAGTACTAATACAAGATACAAAGTTATACTCAGCTCCAGACAGCAGTGGCTAGCTGTGCCCTTCCAGCAGTGCAGGCTGAAGCCAAGGCTGCCATCACAGCAGCTCTAGCCAGAAGGCGACAGTCACAGCAGGTAGAGGAGTAGGCCTCAGGCGTGGGACGGCAGGCAGACAGACAGAACCCTCTTGGGAAAGCAGCCATGGCACAGGAGAAAATAGCCCTGCAAACGTCCTGATACGTAATGAGGGTGGTGTTTATGGTGTGGAGTACTTGGGTTGGCCACCTCAGGTCAGCTGCCTGGGCTGCACCCCTCCTAGCCCACTGCACCTGCATGGTTCAGAACTACCCCTGACCTTGGTCGCTATGGAAACCTGCAAACCAGAGCTTGGTATAAATGAAAACAACACATTCTATCTCTTTTGTTCTCACAGATTTGGACTCTGCAGTCTCTCAAAACTGCAGTTTCTCTGAACAGAAAAATTATTTTATCATTCTGTCCCAGCAAAACCAGGACACTTTAAAACTTAAGAATTGTTTAGAAACTAGCCCTTTTTACTTTAGGACTTCCAGCTTTCTAAGCTTCAGGCCTTCTTATTTAAAAAGTTTCATGTAGTCCACCTATGTTTAGGAGCAAAAGCATGATAAACTTCAACAGCAGTATATTCTGATGATCTTTTATCGTGAGTGGAACCTATGGAGAAACTGAAAACATTTGTTTTTTCCCTTGAACCAAAGCTGTTGAGTCTTGTTTGCATTGAAAATTACCACTTTTATCTTCTGTTTTTTCAACTGTTTGTTACTTGAATGTGAAGGAAATCCCTGATGATGTTGGATTATCGGATTCCTGTTTTTTAAAACTAACTTAATAGGTAACATTCATTTTAGCCCCCTGAAGCTAGGAGTTTAAAGTTGCTTATGCTTTTATTGCAAGTATGCATGGAATTGGGAGAGTAGAGGGTGAATAAACAACCAAAAAATATAGTCACAACAGGCTCCTCTTCTGTTTTTCAGCCCGAGTTTCTACCTTAAATTTTATATTTCATCTTACATTTTTCAGTTTCTCCGTTGTATCTGGATTGAGAATACATTAGAAGTTGTCTTTTCTTTCATCCCAAATATTTTTTAATTCTGTTCTTGAACTGCTGTATATTTTTTGGCAGTGATTGACACACTTAAATTGCCATGGTTACACTGCCATGTAATCCTCTGTATTTATATCTAAGTTACAGCATCATAGAACCAAGGAATGGTTTGTATTGGAAGGGACCTTAAAGATCATCTATTTCCAACCCCCTGCCATTGGCAGGTACACCTCCCACTAGATCAGGTTGCTCAAAGCCCCATCCAACCTGGGCTTAAACACTTACAGGGAGAGGGCATCCACAGCTTCTCTGGGCAACCTGTTCCAGTGTCTCACCACCCTCACAGGATAGAATTTCTTCCTATATATGTAATCTAAATCTACATTCTCTTTCAGCTTAAAACCCTTACCCTTCCTCTTATTGCTGTACTCTCTGATAAAGAGTTCCTCCCTATCTTTCCTGTAGGCCCCTGTTAAGTACTGTATGAAAGGCCACTATAAGTCTCCCCGGAGCCTTCTCTTCTGCAGGCTGAACAACTCCAGCTCTCTCAGCCTTTCCTCATAGGAGGGTTGTTCTATGCCTCTGATCACTTTTGTGGCTCTCCTCTGGACCTTCTCAAGCAGGTCGATGTCTTTCCTGTGCTGAGGACTCCAGAGCTGGATGCAGACTTCAGGTGGGGTCTCAGCAGAGCAGAGTAGATGGGGAGAGTCACCTCCCTCAACCTGCTGGTCATGTTTTTGATGCGGCCCAGGATACAGTTTGCCTTCTGGACTGTGAGCACACATTGCCAGCTCATACTTAGTTTTCCATCCCCCAGTACACCCAAGTCCCTTTGCTTGGGGCTGCTTTTGATCCACTCATCACCCCACCTGTACCCATGCTTGAAATTTCCCTTACCCATGTGCAGGACCTTGCACTTGGTCTTATTGAACTTCATGTTGTTCATATGGGCCCATCTCTGCAGCCTTTCAAGGTCCCTCTGGATGTGGCCACCCTTCACTCTAGAGTATCAGCCACACCACTCAGCTTGCTGTCATGAGTTATGCTTCACTGTCTCTTAAAATGGTGAGATGAAGAATTTATTGAATTAAGTGTAATGTGTAAGACAATGTGGGCAGTTCCTTGAAAGGGGGAAAACATCTTTCAGAGTATGTATTTTTATTTCTGTGGTTTGGCTGCCTGTATTATACTTCCATGATAGATCTTCTAATATATAAATGGTGTAAATGTCTTTTAACTTTTACATGTGATTTGCTCTGCTTCATTTTGCTATGTCATATATCTCAGTGCTCAAAAACATACTACTGTAGTAATATGTATTCCTCTAAAGGACACAAATCTGTCTTTCTGAAGTCCTCTCACTTCCTTCACAAATCATACTTCCCAGCATTCAGCATTTAACAATTTTAATGCAGTTCATGAGTTCTCAGCATTCTGTTAAGTAAGTAGCATGTTATATATGTTGGGATGTCTGCAGATGATAGAATTTTCTTCCAATGTTTACAGGTGTCGGACAGAGTATGAAAACAGAGATGAAGCTACCAAAGGAGATGAGACTACTCGAAAACAATTTCATGCCTTTGTGCTGTTCTTAGCCGAACTTTACCTGAACCTAGAGGTAAGAAGAAAGATGCACATCAGGTTGTTCCTGATTGTTTTTATTAATTTTTTTTTTGTTATGTTTAGGTAAACAGTGAAATAGAGTAGAATTTGAGGTGGTTTTGTAAAGGAAAAGGGGAATAAAGTAAAAGAACCGTAGAACAGTTTCAGTTTACTGTGTGTCCAATACATAGATAGGCAAAAAAACCCAAGATAATTAGAGGAAAAGTATATAAATATTTTTAAATCTGCAAAAATTCATAGAAAGAAACAACCACAAACCACCTTTGGAATGAAGCTTTTGTTTAGTTTTTTATGTCTGGCAAAATCTGCCAGATGACTATACTTACCCAACACAGGAAATATTAAGACCTCGGAGAAGTAGATCAGGTACAATAACCCATGTAAATCAGTGCTCAGCCACTAAGCCACTATTATGAAACCCTTGAGGAAGGTGTGGAAATCCTCAAATTGAGCAATTAATGCAGATCTTTAAAGGTATTTCTTCTGTAAATTGAGTCCTTGGCTTATGCATGAAGCACAAAATCTTGTATTTAGGTTGGTATTTTTTATCAATTACATGATAAAAAATACAGTATGTACAGAAAAGTCTATGTACGCATAAAATACTTATATTACACTGTGAGTTCAGTAAGTTCATTAACTGCTGTAGAGTACTTAAATATATCCTTTTAATTGATTTTATCAGTGGTTTGATTTAAGCAGACACTGAAATTTTCTGCTGGCATGAGGAAATAATTCTCTGATTCTTCCATTTCTATTCATAAGTCAGCCTTGAAATCTGCTTTTCACTTGCTAGAATGAAAAAGGAAGATCTGCAAAGTCTTTGGGGGAGAGGGAGTCATCCAGTTCTATGTATACCATTTATTTTTAAGGCATTTTTCTCTCGTGTCTTTAATACATAAATAATGCCATCTAAAATAAGCCACTACAGCTGTAGAAAACACAAAATGTAGTATGGGAAGGAGCATGGGGTTCTGAGAATTTAGGATTTCGTGGACCATTTGCCAGGCAAAATGGTAGCTTTTCTTAGCAATTTCTTAACAAAGAAACAAAATGCTAGGCATGTGTTGTTACATATATAAGTTAGAATTGTACGGATATTGCTTAAAGTCTGTTTTCTAAAATAGCTACAGTATTTGACATGTTCTTATAACTGAATTTCAATTTATAACTAAACTCAATTTTGTTACTAGCAGATCATTGCTGATCACTATGTTGAAACCGAATCATACAGCATTCAAGAGAAAATATGTGACTAAATTAATTAATAAAGCTTTTTTTTTTTTTTTTAATATATGTTTTGCAGATTAAAGGAACTAAGGGACAGGTAACAAGAGCAGAAATTCTTCAAGAAGGCCTTCGAGAATTACTAAATGCACTCTTCTCTAATCCTGTGGACAGTAATTTGATATGTGCTGTGAAACTGCTGAAGGTGAGACAGTTTTCAAAGAAAAAAAATCTTGTGTTTTAACCTCCTTACCTGTGGGACCACTGGGAGAAACTGCAAATGAGGAATTGTTGATAGGGTTTTATGGATTACATCATTAGCAGCCCAAGAGGTATTTTTTTTCCCTTAGTAGTGTTATGAAACTGAGCCACGAAAAAGTAACATGCTACTCTGCAAGTAAAATACGAGTCTGTTTGTGTACATAGAAAAACAATAAAACTGAAGCCAAGGGACAAAGGAGTCAGCAGCCCATTCAGGTCTTTTGCTGCTTCTAGTGTGGGAGAAAACTGCAACCAGCTTGAGTGAATTGTGGGAGTTTGGGGATATTCTCTGTTCTGAAGGACACTTGGCATTTAGGGTCTACCATTTTTTGTAGCAAAAGGTTCTTGATATCAGTTATTTCATAGTGCATCTTTACTACTGTAGATATATATATATGTTTCTCTTTCCTGATGAAAATACACCTTTCCTCTTAAGTTTTTCTTAAAAAAAATCTTAGCCTCTGTTGAAGAAAAAACTTTTATCTTTACTGGGACCATGTTTGTTTTAGGAATTAAGGTCAAATGCTAAACACACTCTACTATTTTTCAGACTCTTCTATCTTGTATTCCAATTCTGGCAGCTTCTTTTGGTATGCTGCTTCATAGCAGGTGTGAAGTTGTGTTCAAAAAGCATATTCAATCCTGTGGTCAGTCATGATGTTTCAAGTGCTTCCCTGAGGCAAGACCCACTGAAAGACCTTTCAAAAAGACAGATGAGGAAGCTTTCCAGTGCTGCTGTTTTTTATAATCATTCTCCAAAGAAGATAGAGGTCTTACTATTTTTGTGGATGTTCCTAGAATATTTATTCGGCTTCACAGCATCCATTCTAAAATAAAAGACAGCGATGCAAATTATTTTATGACACATTTATAAACCTAAAAGGCATTACAGAACAGGGATTTCTTTTTTTCCTAATCCAAGTTTTTCTGATGTCTTACAATACCTAAAAGTGTTGGAGTATGTCTGTAGCTAGGCTGGGCTACTTCATGAAACCTTGGTTTCACTATTGAGGCAGTAAGTGTCTCCTGTTGTCTTTTCAATTTAATGTAGTGTTAGATAAACGTTTTTCACCTGAACATTTGTTTTCCAATATGCTTATTTTTTAATTAAACCTTCTTTGTGCTATTACCCAAGTACCTAGGATCAAGGTAGGACCGCAATAGAAAACTGGGAATACCAGACAAATGCTAGGGTAGTTGCTTTTATCTTTGCATTGTAGTCATCTGCCATTCCAAGAATTTTGGATCATGGCATATTTATGCTGAGTATATCAGGAATTGCTGTTAACTTCTATGTAGCATAAACATTGGACATAGAGCTACCACACTGTCTGGAGTCTAAAATAAATTATTTACAAGCTCTACTAATCTGTTGAACAAAAAAATGTAGGCAATTGGGAGCTTCAGCCTTCAGGTTCTCAAACAAGTCTTATGAATTGTTACAGAATCTGTTCTGGTGACAGTTTGTTAAGTTTCTGTAATCTTGTTTACAAAAAAAAAAAACACACTAAAAAAACCCTTATCCTTTGCCTTTAGTTGACAGGCTCAGTTTTAGAAGATGCCTGGAAAGAAAAAGGAAAGAATGATATGGAGGAAGTGATTCAGAGAATTAAAAACGTTGTGTTGGATGCAAACTGTAGCAGGTGAGAAGATGTGCAGTGTTATGTGCAGTGTTTTGTCTTTATATTAAATAGAATACCAGAAAAATCCTTAAGAATAATGCACATGTCCAAAACATTATCTTAAAAGTTTTATTTATGAAAAGTCAGCTGATATTTGTGTCAATTACTATGTGAAGAAAGAAATATTTTTCAATTGAGGGCATAACCGTATTAAATATATACAAATCATTGAAGATATGAAGGCAAAATGAAGTATGGTTTGTTGTTTCTTTTTTCTGGAAAGCATATTGGCAGGGCTGTCCTGAAGTCTGGAAAAAAGATCAGTGGTTGGCTAGTGTATTCTGCTTCTCAACTCATAATCAACAGCATGCATGAGGTTATCTGGTTCTGCTGTACTTAATCCTCAGCTTCTTGCAAACTTACCTAAAGAGGGTTCAGACACCTGATCTCTTGTCATATGGAAGGAGGCTTTGTTCCTTAACTAGTGCTGTAGGTTTGGTATCTTTATAAAAACTGTTGCAATTTCTGTTTTATATGGGATGCTCACCACAGAGTAAGCAGAGAGAATGATTTTCTGCTAATTGACAAATCAAGCATTTAGAATTTAGGGAGCATGGGGAATTAACTCACTTCTCCGCAGACTGGGCCAAATTTTGTCCTTTTTAGAGCTTGGGCAGGGGGAGGCAATTTAACTACTATTTGAAAGATAAAAGAAGCCAAATTTCTTGCTTATTACAAAACACGCTAACTTTTGTAGTGCTTCTCTTTATTTCAGAGATGTGAAACACATGCTCCTGAAACTAGTAGAATTGCGATCAAGTAACTGGGGTAGAGTTCATGGAACTTCTCCTACTACAGAAGCTACCCCTGAAAATGACCCAAACTATTTTATGGTAAGAATGTACAGGCACTTCAGTTCCTTAATTTAATGTGAATTTGATTCAAAGACAATCATATTGCTGAAAATTACAAACAGCTGTCTCTCTGAATGTCTATAACATGTTGTGTAACTTTATTCTTAGAATGAGCCGACATTTTATACTTCTGATGGTGTTCCGTTCACTGCAGCAGATCCAGGTATGTCACAAGCTTAGTATACTTGCCTTCTCAAATCTTCTGTAAAAATTGTGATTAATTTTATGTCCTGTTGAAGCACAAAAAAGTTGTTCTTCATGTGTCTGAAGCTAGTGCAACTTAAAAAACAAAATCATGCCTGAATTCCTGGCTTCATGTAACACATGCCTTTATCTGCATTAAAAGCAAGGAAATGTTTTAAACAGACAATATGTATTTCACGGAATCACAGAAATGTCAGAGTTGGAAGGGACTTCTAGAGATCATCTAGTCCATCTCCTCTGCTAGAGCAGGATTGCCTAGAGCACTTTTCTCAGGACTGCAACCTGTCCAGTGCTCTGTCACCCTCACTGTAAAGAAGTGTTTCCTCATGTTTAAATGGAACTTCCTGTGTTTCAGCTTGTGCCTGTTGCCCCTCATCCTGTCACTGGGAACTACTGAAGAGTCTGGCTCCATCCCCCTTGCACCCACTTTTTAGATACTTGTAGGCATTGATAAGGTCTGCCCTCAGCCTTTTCTTCTCCAGACTAAAGAGTCCAAGCTCTCTCAGCTTTTCTTCATAAGAGAGATGCTCCAATCCCCCAGTCATCTTTGTTCCCCTCTGCTGGACTCTCTCCAGGACTTCCCTGTCTCTCTTGAACTGGGGAGCCCAGAACTGGATGCAGTATTCCAGATGTGGGCTCACCAGGGCAAAGTAGAGGGGGAGAATGAACTCTCTCGACCTACTGGCCACACTATTCCTTATGCACCCAAGGATTCCACTGGCCCTCTTGGTTACAAGGGCACATTGCTGGCTCATGGATAATTTACTATCTACCAGGACTCCCAGATCCTTCTCCTCAGAAATGTTTTCCAACAAATCCCTCCCTAACATCAGTTCATACTGTTCAGAAGAATTTGTGCTGTAGTACTCACCCAGTTGATCTCTCCAGGAAGTCAAAAAATCTTCACGTTTTATTTTTTTAGTCCATTGCTAGTATAGCAAAAGGGTGTGTTACTTCTTGATTTCTTTTGCTTTCTAAATTCTGAGCACAGTATGTCATGACATCATTGGAGGTAGACATCTGTGACTACCTTTTCTGTTCTCTGGGAAGATAGGTATCATTCTTGGAGGTTGCTTGATGTCCTGAGAAAAGAATGTAGCAGGATTTTTTCTATACTTTCTTTCATGTCATTTATGGTTTCATTAAATTGGGTATTTTCAAACTGTAGAAGATGTTATGTTAATTTAGAATACTAGTCTTATCTATTAATCCATCCCACTTCTACTTTGTCAGATTACCAAGAAAAATACCAAGAGCTTCTTGAAAGAGAAGATTTGTTTCCAGATTATGAAGAAAATGGAACAGATTTACCAGGAGCTGGAGATCCGTATGTTTTCTTTTTGTCTGATAGCTTTTTTTAATACTAGGTATTTTTACTGCAGACTTAGGAATCCAATCTTGACAAAATTAAACTAGATTATACTAATATTATTTAGCTCTACAATGGAAGAGTTGAATTTGTTGAGGTGTAAGTTGGTTTGTTACTACACAGGTTTGAAACAAATTTTTTGTTTACAGAAATGAGCAAGGTAATTAAATTTCAGATATTTATGCACATATGCAAACATACTGTCTTCTGCATTTAGAAAAAAATACAATGCAAGCAAAACAGAGGACCAGACCTTCAAGTGCTGGTGGTGAGCCAACCCGAATTCATTTGACTAATGTGTATTAACTTCCCAACTAGAGATGAGTACAACATTTTCAGTCATGCTGAGAGAGGTCACTAAATTCCTCTCCTCAGGGTAAGAAGTATTCCCTCAATTAAATGGCTGTTCAGTATTCCTGTAGAACAAGAAAAGCAACCTGATGACAAAGGTGGAAGCAAGAAACAGGAATGTAGTCTGCCGCTGGTTTATAAGCATTTAATAGGAAGCCAGTTAAAGAAATACAGTCTAAAATAAATTGCTCTGAGTTTACTCAGCTGGTTGATGGTGGGCTTTCAGATCATTATTTGATAGCTAGAAGCATTTCCCGTGTTGTCTTTACATGTGATGAGGGAGCTGGTCTGGATTGGTATTTTTGTTAGTAAATTAGAAAACTTTCAGTGGTGCCTAGCTGAGGGGAGTGGCAAGGACTTTGGAATATAATTAGGGATGTCATCAGAAATCAACAAGCTCATTCTGAGGGGAAAAAAAATACCCATGTGAACCTCTGCTTTAACAACAAATTAAATGCAAAATGGAGACAGCAGTTAAAAAACACAGCAAGCCTGAAGAGTGACGTGGAGGACTGAATTAAACCTCATGCAAAGCTGACTGTGGAACCTTCTTTGTTGAAGGCTTAAGAAAAGCCTGAATAGAAATGGTGCAATGTATCCTGATCCTCTGTCAGCTATTTCTCATGACTGCCAGCAGGGAAAAGGGGTTTTATGTTGAGTACCTTCTCAAATCTACACTTCTGTAAGAAAGGAGGAACAAATAAAATAAAAATGTAGGCGGCTTCTTCTGTGCACAATACTGAGGAAAAAATACTTGCCTTATACTATTCTGTGTCACTTACTGTGATTTTGTGTGAAACATAGCATTTATGGCTTCTGTGCAGACAAGGCATCCTGATTCCCTTGATGGAAGCTAAAGCACAGAAGATAATAAATGGAGCTCCTGAAATTAATGCAGCCAATGCTATTGAGAGTCAATAGCTGCTGACTGGGCTTTATTTAAGGCTGTTTAGAATTGTGTACGCTATGATGTTCAAGTTATAACTCCATTGCCCTAGTTTACGGTGATGAACAAACAAGGTGGACCTAGAGAAAACATGAAACATACAAGTGATTTCTCAATAACTGTGTGGAGAGAGAAAGCTGAAGTGATTCCCATAACTTACCAGCTTTATTTGGAAACTCTAAGGTAGTCTCCACTCTGAAATGCTTCATATAATTTAGGGGATCCAGTCTTTTCTGTGACCTAAATAAGACAGATCTTTACTGAAAGTCTGGTTACCATATAATAGAATGTAATAAAATGCAGATTAATAGGAAGGTGAGTTAAGGTTGCCTTCTTCCATGTATCAGAAAACTGGAATGCAGGTTTTCAGTATGAATATATTCATTGACTACTGTGCAACCAAGACAGATGATGCATTATTTGAACTAGGTTGTTAACCAACCAAAAATTATGCTTATATGCTAATAGTTTTTTTCTGATGGATCAGTACAGCTACATTATTAAATTTTGAAAGGCTAGAGTTCCATTATTGCATTTTCTATCATCTCAGGAACTATTTCTGTCTTTTAGACTGTGGACAGTGTAAGATGATCTAAAATGGTGATAAACACTGTGGCTATTTGGCCATTTCTGTGCTCTTCTAGGTTCTGTTTATTTGTGTTCCTAGTACCCATTATTTTCTTCCTCTTGATGCCCTTTAAGTAAATGTCATAGTTAACTGCTTTTTATAAAGCTGTGGTTTATTCTCAACATCTTCATAAATGTTTCTGATAAACTCCATGAAAATTTAACATCTTTTGTCCTTTTTTTTTTAGATATTTCGATGACCTTGATGATGGGATGGATCCAGAAATTGAAGAAGCATATGAAAAATTCTGTCTAGAATCAGAACATAAGAGAAAAGAGTGAGATGTTATACATGAATGTTAGTTTATTAAACCAGTTTAGATATGGTTATAATACATGGGGATAAAAAATATTTGTACCACAATAAGGAACTTGAGTTTCTCCAAGTACTAAAGTTACACAACTTCCTTTTTGTTTAGCAGAATCTGCCAAAAATTGTAAACTTATGCCCTGTAACTTAAAATGTTGTGTATATATCATAGTTTATTTTATGTACAGGTATATGAACAATGTTTTGGCTGCAATAAAAAATATTTTAAAGTTATAATAATTGAAATTAAAATGTAATGAGGAACTGTCCCATAAGATTTCCCTTGAGTGAGAAAGGAGAGGAATAACTTGATCTGAATTTAATTGTTTGCTTGCTTGTTTTAGCATATATTGGGGATATACTTGTTGTTCTTACCATGTACAAGATACTTGGTATTTGATATTTAATTTTCTTTGCTAATGAGAGTATGAGCCAAATAAGAAATTTTTTTCTGTAGATCACAATCAAGTAGTAGTTGTGAAGGTTTTGTTTCATGTGGATGGTTTTCTTTGTTTGTTTATTTCCTTTTTCTTACTCTTCAAAACCCTTACAGGTGAGGCAAGGGTGAGGACTTTTTTTTTCCTAGAACAAATATGTTATATATTGTTATGTGAAAAAGCAAGCAGTATTTTGGAAGTCAGGTGCTTTCAAGGTCCTTGGTCCAGATGAACTTACATTCAACTTTTACAAGCAAAACCATCCTTTATTTCTTTGTGTTCTTCAAGACTGTATGAATATAGTTACATTTTAACCCATGCTTCTCAAGAGTATGTGCTGTGGTTGGTTTTGTTGTTTTGGGGTTTTTTATTTGAATGTATCTTAACGTGTCTAATCTTCTGGCAACCCTTGTAACTTTCTCCATTCTTCTAATTTTATGTTGTTTGATTTAATTTTGTAGTTGGAGTAAATTCATGTATTTCATAAACGTTAAGATTGTGTATTTTGACACCCATATAATCATGTTATTTTTCCTAGGATACTCCATTGTTGTTGCTGCCAAACTCAGCTGTACCGTTTCCTGTTATGCATTACCGCTTAGACTGAATTGAACTCCTTACCAAAAAGGAATTTAAATATTTCCCAAAAGTTATCTACTGTAAAGAACATGTTGTAAATATGCATGTAAATAATTCTGTTAATATTTCACTTTTCTTTGGCTAGACAACTTGTGCATCTGCTAATGGAGTGAGCACTGACTGTTTTCTGGATGTTTATTTAACATACTTATTTAGGTTGGAGTTTTGGAAAATAAAATTTAACTAGCTTTGTTTCCTTTGGTACAATTTCACCACCTTGTCTCTTTGCTTTAAAAAAAAAAAATTATCTTTTTGGTCCAATTTCTGTCTCCCCTTCACCTAGCACTCTTTTTTTTAAGTTCACAGTTGCAGAGTGTTAGCTTATAATACTCATTGGAAAAATAAAATTTATTGAAGGGCAATATGGTCATAAAACTATACTAGCATTTCAAAGTCTCTGGACTAAGATCCAGACGCTATAAAAGTGGTAATTCGGTTAGATAATTTTCACACATATATTCTCTAATATTGAACATCTTTTTCATACAAAACTTTTGATCCAAGTGTAGGTCAAACGTCCTGCTGACTTTACAAGCAGATGTTTTGGGGGGAAAACATACTCAAATCTTGCAAGTCCCATGAAACAAGCATTCATATATGCATTATAGGAAAGTAATGGTGTGTGCAAGGGACTTTGCTTTGCATGTCTTGTTCTTTCGTCTTTTGCAGTGCATCCAGATGTATGCTCGGCTTGTGGAAATGACTTGCCTTACATGCAAGTAAGATGGATGCCAAGTCATCCAAACCCTACAAAAACTGTCGGGAATTAGGAATGGTATATATGAAACAATTCAGATCAGGTGAACTTTGTTCTCCACCAGGAATACTGAAAAATTAGGAGTCTGATACAAACTGGTGATGGTGGAATGACATGTGAGAGGGGAAAAGCAAGCGCCGGGTTTCAAACAGCCAGAATCGCTATGTGCTGCTGCTCTGCCTGCTTCCACCCAGCCGTGCTGCTGCGTGGGCTGGAGATGAGTCTGAGAGGTTTTCAAGACTACCCTGAATTTTAGCATTTATAAGTGTCAAGTGCAGCAACAAAAGTTTCCAACAGATATATATAGATAGATACATATACGTATATATTTTAAAGTTGCTTGTTTTACCGGCACGTACACAAATCGGGTCACGAGTCGGACCACTTCCCTGCGAGAGGAAGTGAAGGGCGCCCCTCGCAGCGCCGAGCAGGGCAGGATGGGGGAGCTGGGCGCCCCGCCCTTCCCTTCCCTTCCCTTCCCGCCCCGCGGGACCGGCCAAGCGCCGGGTTTCAAACAGCCAGAATCGCTATGTGCTGCTGCTCTGCCTGCTTCCACCCAGCCGTGCTGCTGCGTGGGCTGGAGATGAGTCTGAGAGGTTTTCAAGACTACCCTGAATTTTAGCATTTATAAGTGTCAAGTGCAGCAACAAAAGTTTCCAACAGATATATATAGATAGATACATATACGTATATATTTTAAAGTTGCTTGTTTTACCGGCACGTACACAAATCGGGTCACGAGTCGGACCACTTCCCTGCGAGAGGAAGTGAAGGGCGCCCCTCGCAGCGCCGAGCAGGGCAGGATGGGGGAGCTGGGCGACCCGCCCTTCCCTTCCCTTCCCTTCCCGCC